AGGAAAAAGAAAGAAAAGGACAATTAAGACAGGTTACTAGTGTTGTACCAAGAAGCAACAGTTTTTCATTTTTAAAATATCCAGGACATTGGGACACATACTTTGCTTAAATCCTTATCAAAATACCAAGAATGAAAGCCTCTTCCCTGTTACATATGCTAGCTTCAGTTCATATATGGATCATGTGTAAAGTCTACCAAATTATGAAAAGTATTTTTCACTCTTTTTTCTAGTACTGAGGATTCAGGACCTTGCACATACTGGCAAGCTAGGATCTATGTAGCCTCCCTAGTGCTGAGATTACAGGCATGTGCTACCATGCCCAGCTATTTTTGTTCTTATTGGGATTTTTGTTGTTGTTGTTTTAAGACAGGGTTTCTCTGTGTAACAGCCCTGACTATCCTGGAACTCTCTCTGTAGACCACTCTGGCTGCGAACTCACAGAGATCCACCTGCCTCTGCCTCCTAAGTGCTGGGATTAAAGGTATGCGCCACCACCACTCAGTTATTTTTCTTCTTTGTGTTTTTGTTGTTGTTACTGTGTGTTTGAAGCAACAACAACAACAACACACACACATCAGTTTCTCTGCCTCAACACTGTCCTTCCTCTAGTAAATATTGATGCTTCCCTCTTCCTGAACTGTCAGGCCCTGAGGATGTCTGTAAAGATCTACTCCTAATTGAGTGGGTCACCTCTCTTGTTCCAGACAAGACATTGCAGAGTTCCAAAACCAACTATTTTCTTTTTTTTTTTTAATTTATTTTTATTTTATGTGCATTAGTGTTTCTGCCATGGGTGTAGGGTCCCGTGGAACTGGAGTCACAGACAGCCTTGAGCTGCCATGTGGGTGCTAGGAGTTGAACCCGGGTCCTCTGGAAGAGCAGCCAGTGCTCCCAACCACTGAGCCATCCCTCCAGCCCCCCAACTATTTTCTTAAGCAAAGAGTTATTAAGGAGGGTTGCCTGTTGTAGAAACAAGAGGTTGAATGGGACAAGGAAGAAAAATGGAGACAGAAACAACAAAAGGAAGAAAGGTGAGTACCGTTTTGTTTAAAGAAACAAGTGACTCAAAATAAATCAATTTGCTTAGGAGCCTGAAGAACTTCCTATGCAGCGGACACGACGGGCAGTATTTCCACCTCAAAGATAAACAAAGGCAAATTCATCTGCTCCACAATGAAAGGATATATTGGTCACACAGGTTTTACTTATTAATACAGACAAAGCCAGATGAAAGAGACAGAAAAGCAGCCCACAGGCTATTTTTCTTACCACTCTCTCTGGCTCTGACTCTGGTAATCTAGGTTACCCTTTACGCTACCCTGAGATATAAATAGCAGTCACTTCCTTTCACAGGCCAGGCAGAGTTTAGTGCTTTGCTTCCTGGGTCCAGGGGAAAATATTCATAACACACTTCAGTGAGAATTTGGTTACAGAGCTAGAGCGAGAGCTCGGCCAGTAGGTGTCTGCTGTAGAAGCATAGGGACCCCCAAGTTTGACCCCCAGCAGCCAGGCGCGATGGCTTCACCGGTAATCCCAGGACTGGGGAGGCAGAGACAGGAGGATTCTTGGGACTTTTTAACCAGCCAGCCTAGGCTAATCAGAACTCCAGATCAAGGAGAGACCCTGTCTCCAAAAACGAGATGAATGGATGGCTCTTGGGAAACAACTGAGGTGAACTATGGCCTCCAAACACACACACACACACACACACACACACACACACACACACACACACCCCTACTACAAAGCTGCCTAACTTCATTTGAATCAGCTAGAAGAAAAGAACTTGCTTCAAAACACCAAAATTGGTTATTACCACTTTGTTGGTTTTTAAAATTACACCTGTTCCTTTATTTGTTATGAATTTGTGTGTGGGTACAGGTGTGTGATGTGAATGGGCACATGAGTGCCATGGTGCAGGTGTGGCAGGCAGAGGGCAATTCGTGGGGGTCAGTTCTCTCCTTCTACCGTAGAAATTCCAGGGGTCAAACTCAGGTCATCAGGCTTGGCGGCAAGTGCCTTTACCTCATGTGCCATTTTGCTGGACCCCAGCTCCTGTTCTTGTTGAATTACCCCCCGGGACTTCAGCTTTCCCATGTATAGCTCTGAATCCTCCAGAATACAAGTCCACGTCTCTGCCACGAACCCAGACTGAAATGCTAGTGAACTTTTTACAAAATGACTCAGATGGTACTGAGCCCCATACGGTATCCCCAGTGGAGCTGTATGAATTAAGAGGCCCTTGGTTGCCAGAGAGCAATAACGAGGCATTTCTCCCAAGCCACACTCTTCTTATTAAGGAAGGAAAGAGCATCCCAAAGTTAAGAGCAATAAAATAAGCAATGAAGCAGAACAGCTACTGTCTGAAGAAAGAGGGACCAGTCTAAAGTCAAAACAAGACCATAATGCTCTGGAAACCAAGAGCATTGGCCACTGTGATTCCATGCCACAGCCCAGCACCTAGACATCTGTGACATGCTGAAGACACAGACCTAATCAGAAACTAGCTCCATCTCTTTTTCCTGCTACAGCCCCACCAAGTCGCCCTGGAACTCTCTTGTTTAAATCTCTGCGTGGTAAGTTTGCATGTGTATATGCAATCCTCACCTTCCACCTTGTTTGGGACAAAGTCCCTCCTTCATCCATGAATACAGTAGGGTCGGTGGCCTTGGAGCTCCCAGAAAGTCTCCTGTCTCCACCTCCCCATCTCACTACAGGAACCCTGGAATTACAGATGCCCACGATATGGTACCTGGCTCTACACGGGACCCAGGGATATGAACTCAGGTCCTTGCACTTGCAAGGTGAGCACTTTTACTCACTGAACAATCCCCCCAGCCTCAACTTGGCACTCGAATTCAGCTGAGACAAATCAAAGAAAGGAGTTTGGAGTGGGGGAGCACTAAAGTGAGGTCTTCCTCTAACAAGGCCAAGGGATGGGATGAAAATTAGATCCGCTTTGTCCCCCAAACACCTAGACCTCCAAGGTGCCCTTGTTTACCCTACAAGGACCATCCTGCTGCTAGGTTGACCCTTTGCCCACCCAGCTCTTTGTATACACTAGACCTTTCTCCATCAGAACGTCAGCTCCTAAAGTATAGCTGGTTTTGTTGTTGTTTTAATAGTAGGATGGTGTCTCATTCCAGGGAGCCCATCTGACCACTGGCCTTGAGCTCACCGGTATACCTAAGACGACTCTAAACTCCTAGTCCTGCTTCCACCTGTCAAGAGCTGGGATCCCAGGCATCTGCTACCACACCTGGCTGCAAACAGCACCGGGAGGCAGCCTTTCGCCTTGGGTTAGTTCCCCAGGTTTTGGGGAAGTGGGTATTTTGATGGTCTACAGATGGGAAGAATCAAAATCCACTACTTGTTTCCACTGAAGCTGAATCTACTGGTGCATCCCGAGATGGCCCAAAGGGTTCCTGCCATCTCTTAAAAGAAGCAACTCTCTGTTCAGGGCCAGAGCAACTCTGGAATCAGAGACGGCCCAAACAGAAATAAATGCAGGCTTGGTTGGGTACCATTCTTTCCAATTTCAACAGCAGCAACCTAGCAGCTACTCACGCAATCTCACATACTGTCGGGTATTCTGATGGGGATGAATCTTCTGAATTAAAAGTCAAAGCAAAATCTTGACAGTAAGTCCTCTCCATCACGTGGCCGGTTTTTCCCTTTGTGAAGAGAAATGAATGCTTCTGCCACCGGTGCACATTTCTCACCCTGAGGCAGATAACTCTTTTCAGAGCTGGCTGGCCTGATTTTCTCATGCTCTGTATCTCTCTCCTGGAAGCCCAAAGAACTCCCAATAGCCCAGCTCCGGCATGTGGGCAGAAGCCAGGACCCACCTCTTTGTGCGGCCACCGGGCCTGTTCTCCACTTAACTGCGTTTCTGGCAGCCTCTTGTGAAGGACCAGAAGAGGATGTTAATCTTAAACACGCACCGGTCCCAGTACCACAGACCAGAAGGTCATGGAAACCGAATCGACAGCTGCACAAGTGAACTTTGAGATAAGCCCAAGAAAGACGCACACTATCTGTGCCATCAGGGGCTTCGTGGGCATCTTGTGGTGGTTTCGAGGAAGGAAGGACTGAGGAAGTCCTCTGCCGCCTAGTTTCCTCTCGTTTTACAAACACTTGCCCAACGTGTCACCTCGCCCCACTCTTCATACTTTCCAAGCCTTGTAATTGCAAACGTCCCGGCCCATACTTGACAAGGCTACTTGACAGACTTTCATGGCTAGCAAAGGACCGACAGGAGTGATAGAAATGGGCATTGGGGATTGCGCCAAAGCCCTCAGGAGCCTGCAGCTTCATGGACAACACCTTGGGAAAAACAAACACCAGAGAGCCCCAAATCACAGGGCTGACCCAAATCTCAGCCCCGAGCCTCTCTCTGCCTCTGCAAAGGACAATATCGTGTTCAACAATCAGCCTTTGTGCCGTACATGAGCCACCAAGGGACAAATGGCAAAAGCCTAGCTGGGCTCACCTGTAACCTCATCCCTGAGGGCCTCCAGTCTCACAGCAGCCAGGGCTCTCCTGCGCTCCAGCTCCGTGCACCGGCCACTCTGTCCCAGCGGCAGAGGAGCACAGAGAGCGCCAGCAAGGACCACATCTCCTTCGGAGACAGCTCTGTCACAGTCGCGCACACCCCCACAGACACTCGCCACCCTCCCGAGGCCGGGACGGAGGAACTACCTCGGCTGGAGAAACTGAAACGCCCAGAGAGGTAACAAGCAGCCCGGAGGTCACGCACCCGGCCACCAACGGGACTTCCCTAACCCCTCGGCCTCAGGATTCCCGGGGACCCGCGGATCACCGGCCTGTCGCCCCAACGCCGGGCGGAGAGTAACTTCCCAGCAGAACTGGAGCCTCAGCATCCCCGCCTCGCCGGCGGCCAAGACCTTGACCTTCGCCCCACACGGCCATCGGCCGACCCGCCAGTCCTCCCGAAGACCCGACACCGCAGCCCCGCTCCGCAGCGACCGCCCGACCTGCACAGTCGCCTTCCCGAGAGCCGCCGCCCGCCGACATTTCCCAGTCTGCTTCCTCAAGCGCTTCATCCCGCCGCCCGCCGCGCGCTCTCCGTCCTCCCTCAGGCCCGCCCCCCTGCGCCTCCTCCGCCAATAGAAATTCTGACTCCTCCGTGGCTCCGCCCCCAAAGCAGAATGTAGCAAGGGCCCCTGAAGCAAGACATCCTCCAATCCTCGCCGTGCATTCCCAGACTGATACCTGCCTCCTCCAATGGGCGTGAACCCGCTCTGGGTACCCGGGTCCGAGTTCCACTCGCGCGGTTTCGGCGACTGGACATCTGCCCCTGCACACCTGTGTCTAGACAGCCACCGGAACTCGGGATCCCGCGTCTCAGGGTCAAAACCTGTGGCAGGGACAATGGAGCACAGAGTGAGGCACGGGTTTGAAAAGCCCGCTGCACTTCTGTAAGACTGTGTGTAGTGGAGACTCTGCAAGCCCGCTTTCCTCTTTGCCCAGCGTGGATCTGAAATCCAAATACAATTAATAGAAGTGAAGACGAAAGTGCTCTGCCAAAGCAACACTGCGTCATTATCCAACAAACTTTATTAGGTAGGGAACTATTATCCTAATTTTATAGAGGAGGCAACTAAGTTCAGAAAGGCTAGATGCAAGGTCACAAAGTGAGTGGTAAATTCTGGAGACTTAACCGGATGCCTGCACTAGAAAATGGGTTGGGGGACTTAACTACCTCCATCCTCCACCTGCAACTTCCTGGCCTCTTCTGATAACCCAGAAGTAAGCTGTATATCATATGTAATGAAATATGCTATTAAGACAAGCTCTCTGGCCGGATGCCGGTGGCGCACGCCTTTAATCCCAGCACTAGGGAGGCAGAGCCAGGCGGATCTCTGAGTTCAAGGCCAGCCTGGTCTACAGAGTGAGATCCAGGACAGGCACCAAAACTACACAGAGAGACCCTGTTTAGGGGCGGGGAGCCCTCTGGGGGTCTGGCGATGTAGCTGGGTAGACTGCGTGTCTAGCATGCACCAAGCTGCTTGTGGGTTCAATACCCAGCACCACATAAAACTGGTGGTGGTGGGGACATATCTGTAATCCCAGAACTCAGAACATAGTAGTGGAAGGATCGGAAGTTAAGGACCATCCTAGACTACACTCATGTAATCTCAGCACTTGGGAAGCTGAGTCAGGAAGATTGTGAATTCCAGGCCAGCCTGGGCAATATAGTGAAATCTTGTCTACAGAAATACCAAGGCAACCTTCTGATAGTCCTAACTCTTTTGGCACCCCTCCTCTCCAGAAGTTCCTGAGCAACTGTTGCCTCTGACTCAAACCCAGGTCTCACTCCCAAGCCCTGGCATCAACCCTTCTTGCTAAACCCTTCTTGTTGTCCTGCCTGCTCAACTTGTAGAACTGCATGAACCAGATCCAACTGAATTGGGTTTGCAAGGACATCATACTGAGGAGCCCTCAGCTCGAGTCTTGGGCTGTGGCATGGCAAGACACTGCTTTCAAATTATTTTCAGTGGTACTTAGTACCAACCCCTATCCAGCCTCAACTGACTCTCACAACACCCCTAGATTATAAGATAAGGGAAGTTTATCTCTCCCTTTCCTTCGAACAGACCATAAAACGAATGCCTGAAGAAGTGAAAGAACCACCCACATTCACATACAGGAAGTGGCCGAGCTGGGGTCTGAACTGAAGTTGTGGCATTCTGCGGGCTTTAGTGTCCAAAGCTGCCTTGTTACTTCAGCTCATGAATGGTCCCAGGTTAAGTTTTTTACATGTTCTGTGTCAGCTTATACACGACTTTTAAAAAAAGCATTTTTAAGATGTGTTTTACTTTGCTGAAACAGGGACTCACTATACAGCTCTAGCTGTCCTGGAACTGGCTATGTAAACCAGGCTGGCCTTGAACTCACAGAGGTCCACCTGCTTCTGCCTCCTGAGTGCTGGGATTAAAGGTGTGTACCACCATACCTGGCCATTACTAGTCTCTTTAATTGCAAAATTGGGGTCAGTGGGCAAGACTAGACTATTGGGGTTACCAGACCTGGGGGTTTTGTCCTAAAATTTGGGTCGTCAATAAAACGGGACATCTACTCCATACTACTATTGCTCCACAGATGGAAAAAGATAATCATGGTTTGTTTTGCATTAGCTAGATAGCTAGAAAAATGTCTAGCCTACAGTAGGTACTCAGTTAACATGAGCTCATTCCTTTCTTTACCTATTGTTTCTTGGCCAAGACACTGCCTTACCCAGAGAGGATTAATGAGGACAGCCTGGTTCCTTCACTTGGAGCCTCATCCTGGACCCTAATCACTTCATATGTAAAGCTCAAGTGTTGGCTGGTGGACAGCCAAAGGTCTGTCCCTGTCACCCAGGTTCCTTCCTAAGGAAGCACTGTCGTAATGGTCAGAGAAACAAGAGTTAGTACATAACTTCCCTGCTGGTTACCCCAGCCACGGTGTGGACCCCCAAGGAAAAAAACGAGTAAGAGAGTAAGAGATCTGCAGGGCAGACAC